CTAAGTATGATTGATTCATTAAGAAAATCCATTGCAATTTATCGAACTAATATTTCTATTTATACTGGATTATTATTTGGTGATACAAATGCATGAATGACAGAAATAAAAATGAATTTAAAAATATACAAATTATGTTATTTTAAATTTGTGAAAGTAAGCAAAGTGCTGCAGCTATATTATCCACAAAACCATGTTTACATTGATTATGAATCTTATTCAAGATAAATATTTAGAGATTTTGTTTTCTTATTTTAAAAATCTCCACCATTATAAAACAAGAGGCCCATGGGCCACATCGCTCACCTGAGTAACTTGGGTGATGCAGTTTTTTTTACCAGATTTTCCCACTTGCTATACCTATAGTATCTCACTACCCTCCTCCCTTTTATGATTTTAATACTTTAGAATCTACACTACCCCAGGATGCTACCACATAAGTTTCAGCTTTCCTGGCCCAGTGGTTCTTCAGATAAGAATTCTAAAAAGATTTTTCCAAAATACAGTGTATATCTATGTAAAACTTGGATTCCCTATGGTGGCCCCACCCTACCCACGGGGGTCATGATTTTAACAATTTAATATTTACACAACCCAAGGATGCTTCCACATAAGTTTCAGCTTTCCTGGCCCAGTGGTTCTTCAGATAAAAATTCTAAAAAGATTTTTCCAAAATACAGTGTATATCTATGTAAAACTTGGATTTCCTATGGTGGCCCCTCCCTACCCACGGGGGTCATGATTTTAACAATTTAATATCTACACTACCCAAGGATGCTTCCACATAAGTTTCAGCTTTCCTGGCCCAGTGGTTCTAGAGAAGAAGATTTTTAAAGATTTGTTCTATATATTTCTATGTAAAACTTGGATTCCCTATTGTGGCCCCGCCCTACCCCCGGGGGTCATGATTTTAACAATTTAATATTTACACTACCAAAGAATGCTTCCACATAAGTTTTAGCTTTCCTGGCCAAGTGGTTCTAGAGAAGAAGATTTTTAAAGATTTGTTCTATATATTTCTATGTAAAACTTGGATTCCCTATTGTTGCCCCGCCCTACCCCCGGGGGTCATGATTTTAACAATTTAATATTTACACTACCCAGGGATGCTTCTATATAAGTTTCAGCTTTCCTGGCCCAGTGGTTCTTGAGAAGAAGATTTTTTAATGACCTCACCCTATTTTTGTCTTTTATTGATTATCTCCCCTTGTAAGGGGACTTGGCCCTTTATTTTAACAATTTAAACTCCCCTTTACCCAAGGATGCTTTGTACCAAGTTTGGTTAAAATTGGCCCATGGGTTCTTGAGAAGAAGTCGAAAATGTGAAAAGTTTACAGACGGACAGACGGATGGACGACAGACAAAATGTGATCAGAAAAGCTCACTTGAGCCTTCGGTTCAGGTGAGCTAAAAACGACACTATTATAATAAGTCACCTTTCTTCTTCCCCTTTTGGACTGAGTGTCTATGACCACGGAGTTAAAATAGTCCGGTCTCTGACTGTCTCTTCTGGTTCGCTCCGTCCGCCTTACTCGACCTGTAGGTGATTCACTGTCTGGAGAAGAAAAAATCTTTTTATAAATCATTTACATTGTATGAGGATGAGGTTCAGACTATTAATTATAGCCCATGAGCTATGTGTTGTAATATACATCGCAGAATAAAGGACAAGGTGACACTAGAAAGTTCAGAATGACCTTACCTGGTGATCCTGATATTATAGTTGGAAACTTCTTTGACCAGAACTGATGACCACAGGTACAAAACTTACAAGCAACAGGAATCTGTTATGAAAAATAAAAATAATAAATATCTAATAAACAAAACAAAGCAAATTATATTTCCCCACTTTTGGTGTCTTTTAGTGGTGGGATGAAATCATTTAGGGCAATTTGTTATAGAACGTATTTCCGAGTGCCTTGTCTTTTCTGTTAGCAAAAATAACATAGAGAATTAACATTATGACTGCAGATCATTAATTATCAAGGTTTCCTACAGTGTATAATAATTGTAACTACTGCAATTGCATCAAATAATGTGAATTATGTTTATTATAAGCACCAGTCTGTGGAATTGTGAAATTATCAACTTGAGAAGTTAATTAAATGTAGATAATCAACTGCAGAAGTGATTTACAGTATTGAACTTTGTCTCTACTTGTATGAATTCTATCAATAAGCCGATATATATCTGATCAGGATGAGATAGCCTTTAATTATATCTACCTCTGGTATAAATCACAATATTTACATTTCCAAATGTTTCCCTTTCTGCATGTTAAATGAACGTGCATAACTTGCATATGATATTCTACAACAGTAACGTTAAATATTTTATTATTTGTTTTACCTGTTTTTCACATTTTGGGCATTTTTTAACCACTGTTCTATCAAAACTACGTTTTCTTGCAACCCCTCTCATTGTTTCTCAAATCACAGAAAAAACAAATCGTTCGGAACACATCGCACACTCAAGTGAAAGTAGCGGTAACACTTATTACCGCAAAGCCCCTAAAATACCGAAATGTCCATAGAAGTCACCAATTTGCTCTTTCGTATGTTTTTTTTCTTCCTTTTTTTCATAAAAAAATAATGCTCGAATTTTCATAAATAGCATAACTGATGGTAAAATTATTTTCATGCGTTGCATCTCGAAGCGTATAGAATAGAATATTTATTCAACCAATTTGGGCCCACAGTGGAGCATACAGAACAGTGTCCAAAATCATCACAGTTATACATATACAAAACAGAACAAAACAAACATTGTATAATGAACAGAGAGTTAGTTATCTTCTTTTAGGATGTATAGAATGTACATTATAAGTGGCCTATGTATAATATCTGCAATATGCCTATATTGAACTATGTTGTTTTCTCTTATTAAAATTTGCATTTAAAAGTTGGCATAATAAAACAACAAACTCAGAATCTTCATTTGACATAATCCATGTAAACAGGTCAACATTGTTAAGCAGTATCAAATTAGGAAAGGTTTTAAAGATTTTATCTAAAAACTCTCTTCTTGAGTCATTATAAAGTGAACATTCTAGCAAAAAATGTATATATGGTAGCCCACTAGTAGTTCAATGAAAGGGTGATAACTCGTATTGGTGATAGTGATGTCATGTATATAAAATATGATGACAACGGATTGTGATTGTTTCACGACCTTAAATTAATTAATTAATGCTAAAAATCGTTTATAATCGTTTATTGTACAGGACGACAATAATGTAATTTTTTTCTTCAATCAAAGTATAAAATAGTTCTTGGAACCATGGCAAATATGAACAACGGAAATTTAAAATATTTACAATTTTTAATGCAAAGAAAATTTCCAACGTCAAAGTTTCAGCTGATATTGTTTTAATAATTTGTTTGTTTCAGGTTTTCCTTTTATGTCTCTTATATGTATATCTTCTCCCAATGATTTTCCTTTTCTGTCTTTTATATTTTTGTCCTCTCTTTTTTTCAGGGACATACATGTATATACTATATACAATATAGATGCCCCCCTTTTTTAATCATTTTTTCCTAACCAACGTTTTGCCTAGTAGCAAAGTTTGGACCGAAATCTTTTCGCATTCCGTTATTTGTAGAGTAAATTTATATTTTATTAGATATTTTTCTTTTAAAGACCATATATTTATACCTTATTAAACACAAACACCCCCCAATTATAAGTTTTTTATTCTAAATTTTCAAAATATATGCATGTATCAAATAAAAATATTTATATACTTTGTATTCGTTTAACATTATTTATTATACTATCACTATTTCTTTTATTGATTTTTATACCCCTCCCTTGAAAAGTGAGAGGGTATTTATTATATAGTGCCATTGTGACCTCTTATTTTGCTTTTTGATTGGACATACATGTATATGTCAGGTTTCCCACAGCAATAAAATTGATATGCCATTTTTCTATAATATTGAAGGGTATCCATCTCTCATCTGCAACTCCACCTTTACTAATGAATAAAATTAATACTTTCAGAGATTCTTTATAACATAATGCCATTGTGCATCTTCGAACTAATTTTTTATCTGACACTTATTTCGGGTCTCCCAGAGCAAAACAAAGATCTAGACTTTGCCATTATAATCATAATGGGAGGTAGGGAGCTCAGTGCTCAGAGTATATATACCTCTGGTTTTTTGGTTGAATTTGTCACATCAGATACATTCTCAATCTGTTCAAATACTTTACTTACCATTCACTGATTGGGTTCATTCTACCTATTCCCACTTTTTGAAAATCATGTAGAAAAAGGTAAGATTTTATGTGGGAATAGGTGGAATTTTGTGTAAACAAATAATTGACTATGTTCTTAAATTTAGGTATTAAGTTGCTTTTTTTTGTAAGATTTTTTTATTATTTCAAAAATCCGAAATAAATAATATTTTCTTATAGATGCATTTATTATTTTCTGTCTTAAAATGTACAAAATACAAAATAAATATGCAGGTAAATCTAAACATCTATTGTTATTTGCAAGTGGGAATAGGTGGAATTGAGATTTCTAAAAAGTGGGAATAGCTAGAAGACACCACTGATTGTCATATACCTGATTATATAATATCACGTAATATTACACACCAGTCACATCGCAGTGAGATCGGCAGTCTGTGTATACACAGCAAACATAATTCCAGACATCCATTATCAAGAAACATGAAACAAATTTAATACAATTAATACAAAGTTTTCATTATTTATGGGAATGTTTGAAAAAACTCGAAAGATTAGGTTCAAAATCTTTTTTTTAAAACAAAAAATACGAAAAATAAAAATAAATTTGAATAATTTCACTAATTTTTTTTTGAAACATTTCTCGTCTTGATAAAAATAAGAAATTGTATTTTAAAATATATTTAAAATACATGAAAAACCAGAAGTGCCCCCCCCCCCCCGCCTTAAGGGGGCCCCCAGACCCCCTGCCTGAAAATCTTGGAATGTCAACCTAAAACATTTCTCTTGAATACTTTGCAGCACTTTGTCACTGATGCTGACAGTGTCTTCTTTAAAGTATAAACTGTAATAGGAAATCTCACTTATACAAACGTCAAGTTTGTTTGACTTATTCCTGACTGCATGGGGCCATACAATTTTAAAGTATGACCAGTCAAGTATAATGCAAGAAAGATTGAATCTATGTTTAAAATGAATTTAATGAGTGAAATAAAAATAATGTTAAAAAAATAATTAACGAGATTTCTGCTGCCATCCCTCCAGAGCACTAGCGATTTTCTCCAGTGCTTCTACTGCTCTCTCTTCAAGTTTTAACTGTTTTCTCTTCAAGTCCAGGAGATCATTCATTTTACTGTCTTGAAAAATAAAAAACAATTTATTACATATATATTTAAGCATACAGTTAGAGTCTACAAAATTTGCCTATTTTTTGTTTTTTTTAAAACAAATGAAACAGAAATAGAGACTGAAATTCAACAAATTATGACCCCATGGCAAAACTTAAGGTACATCTATGATTCAAGCCTAATATTCCGACGGACCAATACTAAGTAGTCCGACAGCCCAGTAGTCCGACGGGCCGATACTCCGACAGCCCAGTAGTCCGACGGTCCGATAGTCCGACGGCTCGGTAGTCCGACATTTTGACCATTATCAATATTTTTAATAGAGTTAAAAATTATTCCCATCAAACATTATTTCAAGGAAATTACGAAAAACCGCCAAAATAGACCCTAGTAAAACACTTAGTGAAAGAGTTGAAACAAAAATTCAACTTTTCATTTCCCAGGATTGAAAGATCGAGCCAATAAGGGTGCGTGTTTGTGTTTTGTCTGTCTTCCATCTATTTGTTTGTCAACTATGACCTGCCAAAAATAGCGTTTTGATTACAGTCGCCGGGGAGGGGGGGGGGCTGTTTCAACAGAAATTTTTAAGAAATTCTGAACTCGAAGGAAACGGATAATTTCATTTCCTTTCTAATTTCCATGATAATAATAACTGAATGTTTCATATAAAAGTTTTCAAATTAAAAAGTTTTTTCTATTTGTTTAAAGCAACTTATAAAGATAGGACTTTTCTGTAAATTAAACAATTAAATCCAATTGCGTTTCAAAGATATAAAAGAGGCAACCTTAGCTTATTAGCTTAGCTTTTTAAATGTCAAATCGGTTTTTTTTAATTTGAACGTAAATATCGGTTACGTACATCATGTATACTTACAAATTACATCCTATTACTCAGTATTATCTCAGACAAGCCATAACTTTAAGAATCACTAAAACTGAAATATATTCTGCCATACAACAGGGAACCACGGGAACGTAGCATCGTTTTTAAAATGGGGACAAAAAAAAATTCAAATTATCTGAGGAATAAAAAAAAACATAATAAAAAGCTATATACCCCGATACTTTGATTACGGGGACATAAAAAACCCAAAGCAAAACCTACATGTATTTTATGGGGGTGATAATTCTTCATTATTAACTTTCCATACCAACTTAACACAGATCCGCGTTTTCGAGGGAGTGTGTTTCTGGAGGGTGCAATGTCACATTTTCCTTTTTTGTAATGACTGGATGCAAACTCAATGCCCCCCTTTAGATCCGCGCGTGAAGTAAAAATTATGTAAATATTATGTTATGATATTCATTGTGCGTAAAGTAAGGTCGAACCCAATGAAATTTCTGCGCGAAGTCGACAGTTGCACAGACAAGGGGTAATTCTTCCTGTTATCTGCTGTGCGAATTAGTTTTATGTGACTACAATTATCGGACCGTCGGATTACCGGGCTGTCGGACTATTGGACCGTCGGATTACCGGGCTGTCGGACTATTGGACCGTCGGATTACCGGGCTGTCGGACTATCAGACCGTCGGATTACCGGGCTGTCGGACTATCAGACCGTCGGATTACCGGGCTGTCGGAATACTGGGCGGTCACCGTACTAGAGAAAAAAATCTATTTCAAAAAACCTTGGAAACACATCATGAAAATAAAAAAAAAGAGAAATACAATACATTATATTAATGAAGTCATTCATGTTCAAAGTTCTATTTAATTTGGACAAGGATGAAGTAGCAATTTGAAATGATTTAATTTACAAAAAATTCTTTTTTTATACAAATAACGTCTACTCTGTTTTTATCAAAAAACTGAATTAAGAATCTTTAATGTGCATATAATTTCATTTTGTTAGTTTTGAAAGCAGCTTTACTAGAACTGTTGCATACTACAGAAACATTAAATAAAAATTTTAAAAAATTTCCAAACAGTTCACAAGAGGAACATCAGTCTCTGTAATTTTAAATCAGGAAAGAATTGAATTTTTCATAAACTACAAAGGGAATTAGGTCAGAAGTACATGTCCAGAATATCAGTTGCTGATACAGATTTATATCGATCCTTGTACATACATACAACTGCAGACTCACGGTTACCTTTAGAAATGGACGAGGATGACACATTTTTACTTGTTGATCCTTTGGGTCTCCCTCTTTTTCTGCTATTCAATTTTGTAGG